TCTTCAGGGTCTGGTCCATGGTGCTGAATGACTTTTTTTTTTTTTTTTTTTTAAAGTAGGAAATGGCTTCCAAAAATATTAGCCAAATTTTAATTTGAAATTGAGGCTAGAGGTCTCTGTGACTACCTTATACTCACATGTCTGCAAGAAAATTTACTATCTAACATTTGTCACCCACCAAACTGAATTTTTTTTAAGTCCCCATATTTTCTGTTCCTTCAGTCATAGACCCAAGAGACTTTAGACAAATCTGCCTCACACTTTAGCAGATCCATCCTCTGCCTGACCCACATGCTCCTGATTCTACTTTAGTAATATCTCATCTTTACTCACCCTTCTCCACTTCCCTTGATGCTTTGTGATGTTTAGAATACCATTTACAAATTATCCAAGGTGATATGTTACTCAGACCTAGCAAAGCTTTGACTATTATAATTAGTCTATTTAAAAGTTTTCATAGTAGGAGAGAAGCTATAAATATTTTGAATATAAATTGACTTGTTAGTGAAATTGAATTCTAGTCTATAATAAAAAATGGCTAATTTTTTGCTGGTTTGTATTAGGATACTGTAAATATGAATCATTTAAATACTTTATTAAGCCTCACTCTAGTTGTTATCTTTTGCCTTTGTTCCCACCATTCCTTCCCCATACCCTGCCATGACTAGCTTTTGCTGATTTGTATAGTCATAATTCGGTAGAAAGCCTTATATGTCTCATAATTCTAATAGATCCCTCATGTACCAGTCCCCTTTTTCTATTTCTGAGGCCCTAAGTCATATCTCTGTTGCCTAGAAAGGTACACTGTAATCCCTCAGTAAATATGTATGAAATGAAAATTTTAAAATGCATTTTTAACATTTGAAAAGTCTTCATTATGTCTTCATCTTATCCATTAGATGAACAATCTACTTGTGCTTACAATCAGTTTCCCTTAGAAGAGCTGTCATATATGACTATATTCTTTACCAGAGACTTAATCAAATATTCTATAAATGATATATTTAATTTATAATGTATAAAACAATGAATGCTTGAAACATATTAATAAGTAGGTATTTCCTCAGCTTCCTATAGTGCACTGTGGAGTTCATTTATGAATTTATTCCCTAGATTTTTATGACTTAGCAATTTGCCAGGTGCTTTCATTTGTATTATCTCTTTTCACCCTCTCTTTAACCCTAGACAGGTATTATCTCTATTACATGTGTCATAATGATTATGTAAGTAGTCCAGGGTCACACAGGTAGCTGAAAGCTCAGACTGGAATGCATGTCTTTGTCGTTATTTGTGTGGGAAAGGAGAACAAGAATAGCCATCAGCTCTGGAGGACAAGCACTCTTCCAGGTGGGGTCTTGGGGAATCCCAGGAGGTTGCCTTCAGCTGAAGAATACATTGTGGTGTTGAAAGTGATAAGATTAGACAACAAATAACTATGAACCAGAAACACTCTTTGAGAGGGGTGGGGAGGGAGTGGAAAGGAGGAATGGGGTCAAAATCGGGGTTGCAATTGTATGGGAAATATAAAAATTAAAATAAAAATTTAAAAAAAAGTGATAAGATTAGAAAAGCAACTGGGCAGTCTACAGCTACTGCACACGAGATCAATCCCAAGCCAGGTGCAGCAGACCTCTCCTGCCTCGCCCGCTGCTCCCCTCAGCAGTGTATTTCAGTCAATCTGCCTGTTCTGCTCCCCACTCTGTCTCTGGAGAACCCTCTCGCCTCCCACATCTCTGGCCTGTACCCCAGCTCTTGTATGCATAAATAATCTTTTTTTTTAAAAAAGCAGTTGGAATTAATGATAGGGTAAGAGAAAGACTTGGAACTTTATTTTGTGGGAAATGGGAGACACTGAAAATTTAGGACTGGGGGGATTAAGATCATAATTCAGCTTTGGGATTTATTAGTATTATCTGAGATGAATTAGGAATAAACTGGAAACATGACTAGATAACTCATGTGATATTTCATGTGAAAAATAGTTGAGTTTTGAAGCACCCATGTAAAGTTTAGTCAGAAAAGGGAACAGGGATCCATTCATGAGATACTAGAAGTGTTTTTTTTTTTTTTTCTTTCTTTCTTATTATATCTACAAAAGTTCTTTTTATCAGTGGTGAATATTTCAAGAGAAAGTTTTAATTTATTTTTTTTTACTTCTTTATTTTATTATGCATATGTTGTGCAAAAATGGAAAATGATGTGAAAGATACTGGAAGTGTTTTAAACAAGGTTTGGCTGCTAGATGGATGCGAAAAGGGGGGAAAGAAACAAAGCTGTGTTGTGTGTTCTCCCACCACTTCCCCTGTCCCCTCTGCGTCTGTGACTTTTATTCTCCTGCATGTTTTGCACTTCCAAGTGACAAAACACTTCCATGTTTTGCACTTCCAAGTGCACTTCCAAGTGACACAATCAGTGTGATTCATATTGAATATTTTTGTGCAAAGCACTACACATGTTACTTTGGGTTGCCTGTCTTAGGGCATCACTTCAGGAGGCAGTTGATATCAGTGTGTCCTATTTTTGATGTTATCAAATTTGATTACTTAAATAAGTGATAAATGTCAGATTTTCTCCATATCATGTTCCCAACAACCTTATGGTTTGGTTTTTTGTGGTTTTTTTTTTTTTTTTTTGGTTTTTGCAACCATTGATCATTTCTACCCAAATCATTTCTTAACTATGTAAGTAGTAAGTAATTTGGTGAATTTTCTCTTTCCCTATCTTTGATAATAATTGATTGACATTCTGTAAAGAAAAGCTTTCTTTCCTTCTATTTAATGTATCTTTTTTTTTAGTACTAGTTCAGCATTATTTTTTCCAGTGTCTAACAATCCAATCCCATCATTACTTGACACACCCCTAGCTGTTTCTGACCACTTTCTTCTTTTCTGACATATGTTCCTAGTTCATTTTACACTTTCTTGGGCTCAGCCCTAGAATCAGCCATTTTTCTAAGTATTCTGGCTCCTGTTAGTGAGTAATGATATTTAGAAAGCATGCTCTGATGGCTAGTTGTTCATTGTCACTGCATTGCCATTACACATGAACTCTTTGGGGGCACTAAGCTGGGAAAAGTATTTTTTTTAAAACCTTGAATGTCTTTAAATCCAATTCAACACTTCATGCTTCTCCCTCTCTTTCCCTCATTCTATCTTTGTATTTTCTTTCCTAGTAAGACTTGTGCTGCCCCAAACATCTTCTGCTAAATCTTACTGACATAATAGTTTCAGAATCAATAAATCAATAGTACTACCAACAATGAATTTACTAGCAATTCAAATTTTCTTTGCAGTTCTTTTTTTTTTTCCATGAAGTGTACTCCATTACTATGATGCCTGCTTTCTTAAACTTTTGGATTTTTTAAATGTTTCTTTTTACAAATAGCATATATTCACTTCCTTAAATATTTGGCATTGCATGCAGTTCTTTTCAGGAAAAAATATAGTTGAGTTTGAAAACCGTAAATTTTCGAAGATAGCTAGGTAGTTACTAATTAAAGTGTCTGAAATATTTAATGTATTTTAATTAAAATAGCCATTAAGCCACTTTAGATTTAAATTTACATTTAAATTAACAACCCCCAAATACTCTACTTTTTACCCACCTTTATTTTGATTACACCTGTAAGTTTAGTACTTTTCTAAAAATATGAATAGAACCAGATGGAAAAAGGGTTTTACATATTTATATTTATATATCTGTTTATAAACTGTAAATGAGTGTGTTATTTGTACTCTACTGCATTCATTCGTCATCTGTTCACTGTAAAGGGATTGAGTGTCAGAAAAAGAAATTCAAAATCCAGAGGAAAATTGTTTTCTATTACTTGAGACATAACTGTATACTAGCCACACAATTTCATAGAGGATACCTGCAAATAACATCCTTCTGAGGAACAATAAAAAAGTCCTTTGTGTTTTCTTGAATTTGGGTTGGGTCAGTAGTATCTTTTTTATTTTTATTTTTTAAAGATTCATTTATTTATTCATACAAGAGCTGGGGTACAGGCCCGAGGTGCAGGGGGTGAAAGGATTCACGAGAGACAGAGTGACTGAAATACACTGCTGAGGGAGCAGCAAGCGAGACAGGAGGGATCTGCAGGGCTATGTGGATCACCTCTCTGGCTGGCCAGGCATCGAACTCATGCTGCAGAGTTTGCCGATTGCTTCATAGTGCTGTGCTTAACCCCTTACACCACCAGGTATCTTTGAGGCTTTTTTCCCCAGCTTCCTTTGACTAATTTGTACTGACAACTATAAATAACTATGAATATTACAAGGTAATTTGTTATTTGTAGAGAGGATCGGCTCAATAATCACACCCTTCATTAAATATATACATATTGTCAGTTTGAACCAATCACAATGTATGCGTTACTTTAGACTTTTAAGAGCCTCTTTTAGTTTATTTTTCATTATAGAAGACAAACTTTTCATGCATTCTATAGAAGTTTATAGTGATTGGTCTTTGTCACTTAAAGTCAGGGGATTTTTTTTTTCTATTTGAAAAATCAGTTACCAGGAGTGTGTTCACAAAAGCCTGCAAATAAAATTTTGTACAGTAAGTTTAGACATTGGATCTCCATAACAACAAACAAACCCACTTTCCCACACCTGGTCAATTTTAGAATAGAAGCTGATGCTTTGAATAAAACCCTTTCTTCTACAAGGGAAATGTGATTTATGATAACCTGTGACTAGAATCACATTCCATTTAAAGTTATTGTGCTGCGGGATTATAAAGCAGTGCTCTGAAGTGAATCAGTGGAACAGGGTCCCATTTAGTGGACAGTAACACAGGCACTAATGAGACAGATTTCATTAAAACATACTTGATTTATGAGAGGGTTAAAGTCCTATCTTATTTTGAAATCACTAGCTTAGTTTTGGCATCTGATCTCCCAGCACCCCCAACCCCCCCATCACTAGTTTTTCTGTATGCTTTGACATTGCTATGGTAACCCTAAGGGCTGATGGAATTCCCTGCATCTCTTTTCACAGAGGGTGATGAGACAGGAGTGATGGATAGTCTGCTGGAGGCCTTGCAGTCAGGGGCTGCCTTCCGCGACCGAAGGAAAAGGACACCTAAGCCGAAAGGTGAACATTATCCTTGTTTCGTGTTACTTTCTAGGGAACTATCACAAAGAACAACTTTTTTTTTTTTTATTTCTTTTAAAGTCATGTGTCAAGAATGTAGTGCTACAGGCAGCATCTCTTCAGAAGTTTCATAAGTTTGCTTAATCCTTCTGTGCAATGACAAATGTCAGCAAGAGTAGTATTCCAGTTGGCCGATGTCAGTAGCACATTACCAAATCAATGCACTGAACCTAGAAAATCCTGATTAGTGTGACAAGTCTCATCTAAAGAACCATATGTACCTTATCCCAGTGGAGTTTATGGTAACATAATTAAATGGGAAGTAAAAGTCATAACATTATTTCTTCAAGTATTTCAGGGTATTGAAGCATTGCTTTGTTTCCAGAAATACTTAACCTTGGGAAAAAAGTCTAATACAGTTATATTCCTTGAGACGAACAGACTTCTTTATTAAGTTTCTTGTATTTTTTTTTTTTTTGAAACAGATATTCGACAAAGTCTCAGTCCAATGTCTCAGAGGCCTGTTCTCAAAGTTTGTAACCATGGTAATAAACCGTATTCATAAATTGCACATTCTTATCTACTTCTGTCTGTTGATCTGTGATTTTAGTAGGCTGCTGTGAAGTTCTCAAGTTTCCATATAACTAAAATAGGAAATATGTGTGGATGTACATATTTGCAATAAGATTGTGTACTCATATTTTCCATGCCTACATTATTGCCTTGAGGTAATATCTAGGGTTCATTCTTAAGTGAATGTTTATTTTTATTATATGAAGTTACCTTACACACTTCTGTCAGTGATGTCCAGTACATCCTTTCAAATGCATTGTGCTCTCATAATGCTATTTTAAGTAGTGAATTTATTCTAAGATACAATTTGAAATACTGAGTCTGTTACATGTTTTACTCAACCATATTTGCCAGTACAATTTGAAATATTGTGACCAGCTTTTTGTGAAAATCATTACTACAGATGAGTTTCATGTGATCTTATTGTGGAAGGATGTGCTAGAATCACTAAAAAAGGTGAATTAACCTAATGACTGAGGGTTATAGAGATTGACTCCTTTCAGAAATCCCCAACCAAGTGCTGCACCCCCAACCCCACTGAGCCTTCTTCTTCCCTTCATGGTGCCAGTTAGTCTTGATTGGGTTTTATTTACTTTGGTTTCCTTTCTTTTACTGTTATGTGTGTGTGTGTGGTGGGGGATTGGGAGGGGGCTTCTGTTTACCTTGTATAGTCAAAAACAAAACCATCTATTGTGATTGCCATTCAGAGTGTTGTCACCAAAGTTTGTGAGACTTGTAAGTGAAAAAAAATGTTCACATATTTCATTTAAGGTTGCTTTTCAACGTGGATAAGGTAAGTTCTATTGATTAAAGTATTAATATGTGAATAAGTACAGAAACTCGCATCAAATTTCCTGGAAAGCCTGAAAAATCATAAGGTAAGTAATATCTAGACATGAATGTAATACTTTCTTAAATGGCTGTGTAAATTCCTTCTGCTCAAGTTAAAGTATATATAGTAGATGCTTGCTGAATGAGAAGGTAAAAATCTGCATAACTTTAAATAGATCTTGTAATTCTTTTTAGCAGTATGTTTTTGTTACTGTTTTGCCTTATTCTACTCTAACAATAGGAAAGAAGAATTGTAGAAAAGTAGTCCATAGCTTTGGATTTATGATTTAGAGTCGTCGTAGCATATTAAATAATAGCAAAAAGTGTGTAAGATAGACTGTTTCTGGGACTTAGAAATTGTTTTGTAGATGAATAAATGAAAATTCAAAGAAGCTGAATACTTCCTAAGAATGCAGAAGTAGGTGGTGACAAATCTGACTCTAGTTCTGATTCCCACTGCATTTCTCTTGATTACATATGCATACTTTATTTTTTGTTATTAATGAAATATATAAAATAAGCACATCTGCCCATATTGCAAGTCCTTAAGAAACCACAACCAAAACAAAGATCATGGTTTGATTACAATATCATACATATACCCATGTTATGCTTAGCTTAAAATAGTTCAGGTATTCCATAGAGGGAAAGTATTTAAGATAAATTTGTGTGCTGGTCTTGTTGAATCCAGTGTTTCTGTGACTCTAATGTTAGTAAAGTGTCCAGGTTATGAAAGTTAATTTATAATTACTTTAAATTATAATTTCATTCCATTATTCAAAAGCAGATAAGGATTGCATTTCTATCTTTACTAAAGCTTATAGTACTAATTGTACTAAATTATGTACTAAGGTTATTGTGATAGTTAAGCTACTAGGTTATACAGCATGTCAGAGGAGATATATTACTAAGTCCAAATTCAAACTTTTTTCTGTTCATGTTTTCCCTTCACATTCCTAAACAAGAATCATGATTATTTGTAGGAAAAGATATTTGTGTTTCTTTTGTAATCTATTTCTATCCCCCCCCCCCCTTGAACAGTACTAACTCTGGCACTGAACTATATGATTGAAATGTAAAATTGAACCCCTTTTACTTTTTAATTTGCTTTCAGGTACTCTAAACCAAAGTCAAATGTGATATTTTTATTTCATAAAAGTATATTGTAGTTAAGGCTTATAAATGATTTGTGAAATCTCCCATGGTTATTTCAAATTTCTTTACCTCCTGAGTAAAATAATATTAGCTTATAAGCTATTGTTTACTGTTTGGCTTACTAAATGCCGAGTACTATGCTGAATGTTTGATACATGTCATCCTGTATTTACTCTCAGTAATCCTGTCAGTGAATCAATATTTTCATCTCAATTTGAGAGTTGAAAATAGCCAAGGATTCAGTAGATCTGAAATTTGCTTATAGTGCTATGGCCAAATTTCAAACCCAGGTCTGTCTGACTTCCTAGTCCAAGTTCTTAATCTCTCTGCCAAATCTTCTGAATACAGTTGAAATCTTCTCATCCTGGAACTGATGATGATGAGTATGTGTGTATATTTTTTTTCTCTTGTGACATAAGGTTGAACTATTGAAATTCCCTCTCAGAGGTTTTCTTACCTCTGGCGATCTCCTTCTCTTGTTGCTAGATTGAAACTAGCTTAGCACTCATTTCCTTTTCTGAGACTTGAATTATAAAGATATACTAGCTCCTGAATTAGGATCCCTTTTTATTTCCTTTAATATTTTATTTATTAAAATACATCAATTTTAATGAATGTATACTGTACTAGAAAGATCTTGATTATATAATAGTATATTAATGTAGTTAATATATTGATATGTCATGATATAGCAATATATAATAAAATATATACTATTATAGATATTATTTAGAAATACAAAATCTTTAAAGCTAAGAGTTGTTTATTAGCTTTAATTTTAATTTCTCAGTATTATGCCTTTTAAACCAGATCTATGATCCAAAACTCATTTACTTTTACATAGGCAGGCAGGTAGGTAGGTAGGTAGGTAGGTAGGTAGATAGATAGATCAATTTATTTATCAACAGAATGAGATATACACAGACCTTAAGCATTCTAACTATGGGCTTCAAAAGCATAAATATATTATACTGTGAATAACCCAATTCTGCACTGTTCTCCAAACCTCTACCAAAAATACTTTGGTCAGAACCTTTGCCTTTTTCATTTTTTGTTTTGGTTGTTAAGGCTTAGACAGAAATTAAGTATTGGCTATTTTCCTTCCTTTGCTTATTTAGCAAATTTCAGTAAGCATTTGCTAGACACCTGTGATAGATACCCTGTAAGAATTTATATTTATTTGGGAGACAGATGAGTACTAATTTCTATACATTTAGTTAATGACTGGATAGAGATACACACAAAAAATTTTGGTATCCCAAGACATCTGGAAGACAATCCAGATGTAGTGCCTAGACAGATCTGAAGTCCAATTTAAGTTTTGAGAGAGGACTAGAAATGAGACCAAAAACCTTAGGGGAAGCCAAGAAGTAGTAGAAACATGTACACACTTTCTCAGGAGATCCTATCCGAAACCTAATCTGTACTCTACAAAACTATATGCACTATGGTTTTTCCCATTTTTCAGTGCTCCCTGAAAAGTTTCATACTCATCTGCAATACTATTTGTGAGCACCATTAGGGTGCAGGCAAGACCTAAAGAGCAATCTGCCTTATTTACTTCTGTAAACCCAGTCCTTATCTGGATTGGTGCCCAACACATGGATAATAATGTGTCAAATGAACAGACATGTTCCTGTTTAGGTTTAAATGTATATTGAGCAAATCAGTTTTCTGTATGTCACCCAAATAAGTGTGATTTAATATGTTAATTGCAAAAACTCTAGTTGTGAACTACATCTCGTGTCCTTCCTTAAATTTTGTTTGTCATCAGAAGTTTATATTTGACCATCACTGATCTGTGCTTCAAAAGGTCGTTGGATCAAATTTGGAAGATGTGACTCAGTCTTGATTCTATTATTCAGTCTTTAGACATGGAGGTTTACTTATTAATTAGATTTCTTTCCCTTACTTATCAATCAAGCCAGGTTTAATAGCAACAAATAGAAGAAAGCATCTGCTAATGAGTATACTGCATTAGATCTCTTCTTGCTCAACACAGTGCACTCTACCCTCTATAAAAATAGTAAAATGTCCTCTTTTAAGATCATCATATATATTAATACATTTTTATAAAGTTTAGATCATATTTGGAGATTAATGAATCTAATGGCTTGGTTGAAATTTAGGGGTCGATAGGGAAGAAGTATGTTCGGAATCTGATGTTGGACCAATAATTTTTACTGTTGAGGTTTTTTGAGCAGGAAAATGAAGAACCTGAGCAGTGTGAAAAGAGCTGAGTTGACAAACCTTAGGAGACAGGAAAGACTAGAAAGGACTTCATAGCCACCTCCATGCAGACATGAATTCACTGCACTTAATGGGGAAAGAGTCAACAAGATTTGAGGAAAGAAGCCAGACTTGGAGCTCTGGGTTGAGAGGCCCTCACAGACAATTGCAAATGAGTTACCAGAGGAAAATCTTTAAATCCATAGAATGACAAATTGATGACTAAACATTAGGAAGGAGCACAGATAACTAATGGAATAGAGACTTAACATGAGATACATAGGGGAGATCACATAATAGTGGAGCCCACATTATGAAGGTTGGAAAGAAGATTTTCAAAAACTTAGTTTCCCTGGTTTTTTTTTTTTTTTTTTTTTCTTTATATCATGAGTGACTAGTGTTCAGGAAACATTATTTCCTACTCTCTTCAGAGACTTCTCTTCCCCTTATACACTATGAAGACCCTGTAAGATGTTTGTGACAAAGGTTTCACAAATGCAAACTATTTAACCACACCTTGAATGCATCTGCCTGCAATTTGATTGCACCCTCATTAGATGGTTCCCTTTTCATTTAGTAGTACAGTAGGATTTTTTTTTTTTCAGTTAAATGGATATAGAGTAATCAGAAAGGATTCTATAAACTATATGCAATTAAAACCCCTAATGATAAAACTATTTAACTGTGACAAAATAAGATAAAACATAATCAAAATTTTAGGCAAACAAATATTACACATTTTTAGTATACATACATA